CCGATAATATGGCATTCCTGGAATATTTCTGCTTTAGCATAAATTTACACACCCGTCAAATTTATTTAGCATAATGCTCTCGTTCCAAAATATAGAATATCCTGGAATGTCGAAATGACATTTGCTTTTACTTGTATGAGTCTCTGACATAACGATGATATCGAATTTTTTACTAGTAGATTCCAGGAAAACTATTCATAATTCTTATATTACATCTATTACATCTATATATATAAAAATGAAAGTTCACGGGGTATCCGGATATGCGCTCCAAAACCACTTATCCGATTAGGATGAAACTTTGGTAGGTTGTTATGACCATCCCAAGGAAGGTTTGTGGATAGGTTACGCATCTCGGAAAAAGAAATAAATTTTGAATTAATTATTAATTTAATTGTAAACAAACTCATTCACATTACATAACAACATAACCCAACTTTTTTTGACAGCATGAAACAACGTTGCCATATTTCATTTATTTAGGCTTGCATTCAACCGACGTAACTTTATTATTTTTTGAATTCAAGAACGGCTGGACCGATATTGAATTAATACCACGTATCTCTATATAAGGTGAATTCGATTGACCCAGATTAGATCGATTTGGGTTCAATTTAAGTGAACTTCTTCTGATCTAGATCATTTTTTTGTTGATGAGGGTGCACTGATCCAGCTTGAATCGAACACAGTGTGGTTCACTTAAATTGAACCAGATCGATCTAATCCGGTCAATCGAATCGGCTATAGATGAGAGTGATATAGGCTATTTTTTATCCCGAAAAAAAAAGTTCGGTTGCGTAAAACTCTGATACACTGGAACGCCTATAAACAGCTCGGGGCGCTCTAGAGCAGCTCTGGAGTGCTTAAAATGCGTCACTGAACTCACTGGCAAGCGACTCTGATATCGGATTAAAAAAAAAAAGAATTAAATAGAAAATCAACAACAAAATTTGAAAAGAAGTGTATTATTTCAAAATGTATTTACATGCTGGCAACGCAGCGGGTCATTAGCTAGTATTACATAAAAGAGCGAAAATCCGTCTGTGTATTTAACAGGAACCTTAGCTTTATCCATTTAGTGACAGACACTAGTTCAAGTTATTTTCCATTTCCCATAGATCCTGCTCTGTTTTTACTTCAACATTTGACGTGTAGACTGCTTTATAGTTCAACCTTAATTTCAGTTCCCTATAGCCTTTTCAAATAGTTGTCTTTTGTAAATCATATCATCGTTAATGTACAGCTTTCTATCTTGTCCCTTCAGGTTACACCCCTTTACAGTGATTCCCCTCATCTGTCTGTTTCGCTCCATGATTGACTTCCTCCTCGCAGGATTTTCAAATTTTACCAAGATACTTCCACCATCGCCCTTTTCCATTTTTGATAACATTCTCTAATGCCTTGCTCATCCAGTGTAACATCCATGGCCTTAGTAAATTCCACTTTTGAGGAGATATAATTTTTCATTTTGACAGATTACTCTCTACCTGTTAGATTACTGTGAAACCACTTAATTAAAATGCCATGTACAACAGCATCCTCCAGCTTTTTCAAGAGAATGTTGTGATCAACGTTATCGAAAGCCTTCGAGAAATCAGTATAAATTGCATCAACTTGATTCCCAAAAGCTTCCAACAAAGCCTGCTCATAAGTTAAAAGCAGTGTTAATAGATATTTGTAGTTGAAATTCCCCATAAAAGCGGAAAAAAGTCACTAGATTGGTATAAAAATCCCTAGTTTAAGAATATATTCGATTTCTAGTACGCATTCGAACCTAAAACATCTAAAACCAATGAAAACCATTCAAAACTGTCAACAAGTACAAGTAGATGAACGTAGAATTTGAAAACAACAATTAGACGATCTGGATTTATTTGGTATCTTTCTCTATTTGTACGCGTTAGAAAGAGACATTCGATATGTGCAAGCAATCTGCAATAGAGATTGTTTTTCTTTTCTCTCTTTAACACATTGTACTAAGCGGCATATAAAATATTACGGGATTGAAAATTAAAAAAACCCATCTGGCATAAATTTCCCTTTTTCCCTAATTACTCAAAATGTCCCTAAATCTAGGGAGAAATTTCCTAATATACCATCACTGACTTATAACGAAGTAGGAGACAAGCGTATGAAGAATTCAATGATTAAGAAAGAGACAAATATAAAGTAGGGCAAATAAAATGACACGAATTTTGATTATTCCCGGCGCTTGAGTATCTGGTAAGAAAGGGACAGAGATGGAATGGGAAAAAAAATATCGTACAAATCTTGGCTATTTGTATCTGACAAATCAAGAACTTGGGTATAACAAAGTAGGAGACTAGGAGACAAAGACATAAAGAATTCAATGATTGAGAAAGAGACAAATATAAAGTAAGACACATATTCTGATTATTCCCGGCGCTTGAGTATCCGACCGATTAAGTGCTTGGAATAAAGAAAAATGGTATGCAAAATTAAATGGGTAAGAAGAGACAGAGATAAAATGGGAAAAAAAAATTACACAAATCTTGGTTATTTGTGTCTGACAAAACAAGAACTTGAGTATAACAGAGTAGGAGGCAAAGACATAAAGGATTCAATAATTAAGAAAGAGGCAAATAAGTATAAAGTAGGATGAACAAATGTGACACGAATTACTGGCGCTTGAATGTTCATGCATCTGACCAATCGAATGTCTGGAATAGAAAGAAATATTATGCAAATTTCAATGTATGAGAAAAGGACAGAAATTAAAAAATAAAATATAACACAAATTTTGGCTAATTTGTGTCTGGCAAACCCAAGAGCTTGGGTATAACAAAACAAAGTAGGAGACAAAGACATAAAATCATTCAATAATTAAGAAAGAGACAAATATAAAGTAGGAAACAAATTTTGATTATTCTCAGCGCTTGAGTAGTCTTGTATCTAACCAATTAAGTGCCTAGAATAGAGAGAAATGGTATGCAAAACATCCACAAAGAAAGACTAAGCTATGGGGAATTCATTGAATCAGAAAGAGATGGAATTGAAATACAAATAAGTGGCTTTGTAATTTTTGTAGGTTTGAGTTATTCCAATTCAATTATTATAAAAATTGTTCTGGACATTTTTTCAATTTCTGCCAAGTAAGAGAGAGAGAGAAAAAAACTAGATCAGCTCAGAATTGATGCCTCTCTAATTATAAATAAATCGAACTTTTCTGACAGAAATCGCAGAATTTTCAAATTTTTGTGTCTGACCGACCAATCAAGCACTTCAAATAACAAGTGAGATACAACGTGAGATACAACGATGTGAGAAATTCATTGAGTAAAAGACGGATATAGAGTAGGAAGTAGGATAGAGTTTAGTAATTTTCTTATTCCCCTGGTTTGAGTAATAATAGTGGTTAAGTAATTTCTGTATCGTATCAATCACGAGTATTGAATAGTCAAGTAAAAAAAAAGACACGGTATCAGAAATTCAATGGATAAGAAAGAGACTCAAATAAAATAGGAAAACAAATTTTGGCTATTTGTGTCTAGCAAATCAAGAGCTTGTGTACTTATATTGTTAAAAGATTTGTCATCGTCGATTTTCCCTTTATCAAACCATGTTGTCCATTGATAATGACATTCTTAAAATGTGGGGTGATGTTATCTGCAAATATAAAATATACCTTCAAAAACTTTGGCTACCAAGGAGACCTTGGATATTGCGCGATAATTTTCAATGTCTGATTTGTTTCCATTGTTGAAGACTGGAATAACATAGGATTTTTTCCAGGCTGGTAGATATTTACCAGTAGACAATGACAAATCAAAAATATCACACAAAATTTGAGACAGAACAAACCTGCAGCGTTCTAGGAAAACAACATATATGCCATCTGGCCCAATACCGAGACTCTGCTTCAATTTACAAATACTTTCAGAAACATCAAGTGGAAATGGCTTAAGCTGCCCAACATCAGCCATATTCTTAACATGAACAGCATCCAGAAACACCTGAATTGAATGACTCTTCAACTACACTTAAGGGAAGTGAGGATGCTGAAGATATTTTTTCAGAATCTGAACCAGAAGTATATTTAAATAATTGTATTTCAAATGTAGAACCATTATTGCCTTATTTGACAAAAGGGTTCTTATACATACTCCATGGCAAAAAGATTATGTTCTAGATAAAGATCAGAGTCCAAATCCTTTTGTAATCAAGATAATAGTCATAATTATTGTATTATGTACTTAGTCCAAACCCATATACAACAAATTGCTGGACATTGGAACAATCCTAAAGAAAAATCCATTGAAATTCTTGGAAAATCTCGGACGATTGACATCAAAATTCATTTCGAATCAAATTATCTATTCGAAATTGCATCAATCTGTGGCGCCTAGCCTCTCCTCCCCCTTATTAGAAAAACCTCACGGGATCAACACGACGGATGGCACGAGATAAAACGGAAATTATAAATAAAACCGCGCCAAAGTTCGAGTGTAATTTTTCGTGACGTTTGCCCCCCCAGTTTTGACGTTGTTTCGGGTATAAATTGAAGCGCGCCTCGCGGCCCAGTTTCATTAGTTTTGTCCGTCTTTCAAAGCGAAAACGTTAATTATTATTTGTAGTAACGCGATAATTGATTGTGACTGAAAAAGTGACTATTGCTTGTTTCTTGGACAATTTTGAGTGAAACTGTTTGAGTTATTGGAAATTGCTTGTAAAGGATTTTTTTTTTTAAACAAAAAGCAAAAAGTGAGTTTTATTTTTCAAACTGAAATTACCCAAAGGTTACCCAATTAGTATTAGATTTCATACCTATCAAATACATATACTATTACAATGTTTTCAAACGATAAGAAAAAACTACTAGGCAAACAAGGTTACCTCATTACACTCATTAAACTAATCAAAGAGTATATAATTTTGCTGCATTTAAGTATTGCAGCAAAAGAAAATCGAGTTCAAGGCATAATATCATGTGACTTTGATTTTTGTTTATGTTTTAACGCTGGTTTTTTTCATTGTTCTAGTACCAGCAAAGATGTCTTTAGCCAGTGTCCATCATCCAGCTGACATTCATTCGAGCCATAGGTAAGAAATCTGTCATCATGTATTTGTAGAAAGTAATTTAAATGGCCACTTTCATTTGGTAATAATAATGGTTTAGATGCTCTAAGCTAAGGGGTTATGCAATACAATACAAATAATGCTTAAAATGTTTCCTCATAATATATGAAAAGTGTTATCTGGTGTATTATTTGAATAATGACTTTACGTTTTGGAGTGAATGGAAAATTACTCTTTTCCATTGTAGTTTTTAAAATTAGCCTGTTGGAGACTTTGTCGCAGTGAAGATATAGTTGAAACAAGAACTGTGAAAGTCTTCAATACTATGCTAATCAAACCAATGTTTTCTCCTTAAAGACACATTAAAAAAACTTTATAGATGAGATTTACAGGTCTTCTTAGTGATTTTTTCATTAATTCTCTCTCTTCAGCTCATTTTGGGCCTTCCACTTTGTCTCCTTCCTGTAGTTATATGTTACCAGAACGCTGTCAACAAAGATAGAAAAACAAAGATTTATTTTACGAATTTTTCTTGAATTAACTTTCTCTATTTCCAATTTAAGTCTATTCCAGGCTTTCGATCCTAAATCAGGATTCGCAAAAATCCGGCTAATTTCATTATAGTGGATAGAGAATTGGATTTTTGATCTTTTTGGTGAATCTATGTGCTAAACCTAACAATTTCGAAAATATAACTACAGAAGTATCAAAGAGTGCTTTAGAACAAGATTTCTGCTAAATTCTAGAGGATTTCAGCTCTTCAAAATCATTGGGTTTAAAAGTTAGAACATTTTTAGGCATTTTTAAACGCTCTAGAGCAGTGGTTCCCAAACTTTTTTCTTTTGCGTCCCCTTTCTGAAATCAACAAGTGGTTGCGCCCCCCTTTCTTCCCCCATTGTACAAAAACCTTTTTTTTCACTTACTGTAACTCGTCTGCACTGGACTTTGGAAAAGGAAAAATGGATATGACAGTGCGCTGTAGCAATTACTGTATTCCTTTTATATATCGAGTAACACCGAACGTGTCGCTCTAAAGCTCCTCGGAGTTACTCCAAAATACACAATTCAGAATAATTCAGATATTATCATTATACTTTAATATTAACATTAGGTACCTAAAAAAGCTTCTTGCACCCCCCGCAAATTTGGTGCATCAGGGGAAAGGGGGATGCACTATGAGCGAATCGAGTGCTTTCACGCACTTTTAAAAGGAACGTTCACGCTTTTGACACTAAGCAGCTCGGAGTAACCCAACTGGTAAAAAGAATACAGTAACAGATCGCATGGCAAAGCTGCTTTGGCTTATGTATTCGCTGTTGCAGGATTGTAGACATCTTTTTTTAAATTCTAACTGATTTTTTATTTTTAAGCTTAAAATTTGTATTTATTGTTTAGAAGACTTACGCCCCCCTCAATGTTGCTTCACGCCCCCCTAGGGGGGCGCGCCCCCCAGTTTGGGAACCACTGCTCTAGAGCAATTTGGTAGAGAACAGAACACTTTCGAGTCAATTTTCAATCCTCATGCAGTTGTTTTGCAACAAATTGGAATATTTTAAAACATTATAAAACGTTACAGAACACTCTAGAACCAATTAAGAATTTCAGTAAGATTCTAGAACAAACCAGAACACTTTACAAATCATATGGAACTTTTGGAAAACATCTAAAATTGGAAACTTTCAGAATATCTTGAAAATCGTCACATGATACTTAAGAACTTATGTATTTTGAATTTCATTTAGAAGTATCGAGACTTTCAATTCAATTTTCAATCCTCCTGCATTATTTTGAGACGAATTGGAACATGGTTAAACGCTATAGAACCCTTTAGAATGAAATTAGAATTTCAGAAACCGAACATTCAGGAACATTTAAGAAAGCTTAAGATACTTTAAAGTTTAGGTTAAGATCCAAGAGTATTTTGGAACGCTCTAGAACACTATCATATACTTTTGGAAACTTTCAGAATGTCTGGAAAATCGTCACATGTCACTTTGAAACTAACTTAAAACTTCCATGAATATATAAGAACACTCTAAAACACGTTCAGACATTAGAATCTATTTCAAGCTTTTGAATGTTTGTTTTCTTTCAAATTGACCTGGAGCCTGGAATAGAAAAAAATATCTGATAAAGTGTTCCAGAACAGATTCAAATTGAAGATCAAGTACAAAAAACGACTCGACTCTTCTATTTCTGAATTCTAAATCTACAGAAAAACTGTTCTAGAACACTTTCAAATTGAAGATTCAGCACAGGAAAAAGAATCCACTCTCCTGTTTTTGATCTAACAAGCTGTTGTAGTACTTGAAAATGATCTGATGTAAAAATGAACTGATAAAGTTTCCCAGAACAGATTCAAATTGAAGATTAAGTACCTACAAAAAACCACTTTACCCTTATATTTCTGAACTAGCAAGCCATTGTAACATTTGGATATGATTTTATCTTCTAAATCTACGTAAAAACTGTTCTAGAACACTTTCAAATTGAAGATTCAGCACAAGAAAAAGGAATTCGCTTTCCTGTTTTTGATCCAATAAGCTGTTGTGATACTTGAAAATGATCTCATGCAAAAATCAACTGATAAAGTGTCCCAGAACAGATTCGAATTGAAGATTAAGTACAAAAAACAACTCCACCCTCCAATTTCTGAACTGTCAAGCCGTTATTAAGCACTTGAAAATGATCTTATCTTCTAAATCTACGGAAAAACTGTCAAATTGAAGATTCAGCACAAGAAAAAGAATTCACTTTCCTGTTTTTAATCTAACAAGTAAGTTTAATAATGATACAATGGAGATGTCAGTATCAAAAAGCTGCCCACAGGTTGTAGTAGAACTTGATAACAGAAACATTTATACCCAGGGTTACTCAGATGATGTACTGCTTTTGTACAAATGCATTATAGCTGTTCAGCTATATTTTTTCAATAAATTGTGGATAGACTTGATTCTCCATGACAATGATATACCTATGCTAATTCTTAACTACAAATTACAATAAGGTATTTTCTGGTGTATAAGAATCCCCACATTGTAGAATATGCCATTGAAACTATTTAATTAGGTGCCACTGCTATATGAATATCTACAAGCCAAGGGGTAGTACTTGCTGTTGAAAAACGTATTACTTCACAGCTTATGGAACCAAAGACTATTGAGAAGATTGTAGAAGTCGATAAGCATATCGGTTGTGCTTTCTAGTTAAAAATTAAAAATTAATTAAAAAATTGAAGGTGGTTGTTGGTTTTGAGTGTTTTGACGTACTGGTGCGAACACCAAATACTAGTCCCAGATTGAGCCAAAGTTTCATGCCAATAACTTTACTGGTTTCCAAAATAAGGTCCTTTGATGAAATACATATTTGAAAATCAAATTCTCATGCATACCCCTTTGGAAAAATTCGAATTTTTAAATTTTGCAATGTTTGACTTTACCAATCAAAAGGGGAGATCAAAATTAGTGGGAAAGCATTTTTGCAACTTTGTTTTTAGAGTTTTAAAGCCTTGTAAAAAAATAAAAACGATTTTTGCAATTTTTAGGTTCAAAAAAGATAAATAATCTGATATTCTTTCACAAAGTTGCTGATTACTCGGTTATTATTGTAACAAATACAATGTAAAATTATATATTCTGAATCAGAATTAGATAATCTTCAAGATAAAATAAGACTCAATTCTATATCTTGAATACTTTTGAAGATATTGACGCTCAAATTTGAAACTTTACTTCAAATTTTGCAAAAGCTTCCAGACGGATTATCTTGAAAACGAAGCCCTTGGGCTCGGAGTCTTAAATAACCTTTTTTGTAGCCCTTATTAAGAGCTACAATTGGGCAAAAAATTCATGCCAATAGCTTCACTGGTTTCCAAAATACAAGCATTTGAAATATTTGAAAATCCAATTTCCATGCATGAAAAAATTCGAATTTTTAAATTTTTGGATTTTGCAATTTTTGAGTTTACTAATCAAAAGAGGAGGTAAAAATTAGTGGAAAAGGATTTACGCAACTTTGTTTTTAGGGTTTTAAGGCTTGTAAAAAAATAAAAACGATATTTGCAATTTTTGGGCTCAAAAAATTTCAATAATCTGATATTCTTTCACAAAATTGCTGATTACTCGGTTATTATTATAACAAATATGATGTAAAATTATATATTCTGAATCAGAATTGAATAATCTTCAAGATAAAATAAGATTCAATTCTATATCTCAAATACTTTTGAAGATATTGAGGCTCAAATTTGAAACTTTATATCAAATTTTGCAAAAGCTTCCAGGCGGATTATCTTGAAAACGAAGCCCTTGGGCTCGGAGTCTTAAATAACCTTTTTTGTAGCCCTTATTAAGAGCTACAATTGGGCAAAAAATTCATGCCAATAGCTTCACTAGTTTCCAAAATACAAGCATTTGAAATATTTGAAAATACAATTTCCATGCATACCCCTTTGGAAATGTTCGAATTTTTAAATTTTTGGATTTTGCAATTTTTGACTTTACTAATCAAAAGAGGAGGTGAAAATTAGTGGAAAAGCATTTACGCAACTTTGTTTTTAGGATTTAAAGGCTTGTAAAAAAATAAAAACGATATTTGCAATTTTTGGGCTCAAAAAATTTCAATAATCTGATATTCTTTCACAAAATTGGTGATTACTCGGTTATTATTATAACAAATATGATGTAAAATTATATATTCTGAATCAGAATTAAATAATCTTCAAGATAAAATAAGATTCAATTCTATGTCTTAAATACTTTTGAAGATATTGAGGCTCAAAGTTGAAACTTTATCTCAAATTTTGCAAAAGCTTCCAGGCGGATTATCTTGAAAACGAAGCCCTTGGGCTCGGAGTCTTAAATAACCTTTTTTGTAGCCCTTATTAAGAGCTACAATTCGGCAAAAGATTCATGCTAATAGCTTCACTGGTTTCCAAAATACAAGCATTCGAAATATTTGAAAATCCAATTTCCATGCATACCCCTTTGGAAATGTTCGAATTTTTAAATTTTTGGATTTTGCAATTTTTGACTTTACTAATCCAAAGAGGAGGTGAAAATTAGTGGAAAAGCATTTACGCAACTTTGTTTTTGGGGTTTTAAAGCTTGTGAAAAAATAAAAACGATATTTGCAATTTTTGGGCTCAAAAAATTTCAATAATCTGACATTCTTTACAAAATTGCTGATTACTCGGTTATTATTATAACAAATATGACGTAAAATTATATATTCTGAATCAGAATTAAATAATCTTCAAGATAAAATAAGATTCAATTCTATATCTCAAATACTTTTGAAGATATTGAGGCTCAAAGTTGAAACTTTATCTCAAATTTTGCAAAAGCTTCCAGGCGGATTATCTTGAAAACGAAGCCCTTGGGCTCGGAGTCTTAAATAACCTTTTTTGTAGCCCTTATTAAGAGCTACAATTGGGCAAAAGATTCATGCTAATAGCTTCACTGGTTTCCAAAATACAAGCATTTGAAATATTTGAAAATCCAATTTCCATGCATATACCCCTTTGGAAATGTTCGAATTTTTAAATTTTTGGATTTTGCAATTTTTGACTTTACTAATCAAAAGAGGAGGTGAAAATTAGTGGAAAAGCATTTACGCAACTTTGTTTTTGGGGTTTTAAAGCTTGTAAAAAAATAAAAACGATATTTGCAATTTTTGGGCTCAAAAAATTTCAATAATCTGACATTCTTTTACAAAATTGCTGATTACTCGGTTATTATTATAACAAATATGACGTAAAATTATATATTCTGAATCAGAATTAAATAATCTTCAAGATAAAATAAGATTCAATTCTATATCTCAAATACTTTTGAAGATATTGAGGCTCAAAGTTGAAACTTTATCTCAAATTTTGCAAAAGCTTCCAGGCGGATTATCTTGAAAACGAAGCCCTTGGGCTCGGAGTCTTAAATAACCTTTTTTGTAGCCCTTATTAAGAGCTACAATTGGGCAAAAAATTCATGCCAATAGCTTCACTAGTTTCCAAAATACAAGCATTTGAAATATTTGAAAATCCAATTTCCCCCTTTGGAAATGTTCGAATTTTTAAATTTTTGGATTTTGTAATTTTTGACTTAACTGATCAAAAGAGGAGGTAAAAATTAGTGGAAAAGCATTTACGCAACTTTGTTTTTAGGGTTTTAAGGCTTGTAAAAAAATAAAAACGATATTTGCGATTTTTGGGCTCAAAAAATTTCAATAATCTAATATTCTTTCACAAAATTGCTGATTACTCGGTTATTATTATAACAAATATGATGTAAAATTATATATTCTGAATCAGAATTAAATAATCTTCAAGATAAAATAAGATTCAATTCTATATCTCAAATACTTTTGAAGATATTGAGGCTCAAAGTTAAAACTTTGTCTCAAATTTTGCAAAAGCTTCAAAGCCGATTGATTATCTTGAAAACGAAGCCCTTGGGCTCGAAGTCATGAATAACCTTTTTTGAAGCTCTTATTGAGAGCTACAATTGCCAGAGTCCCAGCTAAAACCCGAAAAATGAAAATAGAGATAAAAAGTCAAAAAAGTTGACAGAAACTTTTTCTGATAATTTTTCTTGGAATCTGATAATTTTGTTCTCAAATCCTGATCATTTTAAATTTGACATCTGACAACACTGATGGATTATGAAATATTACTGCGTAAGCTTCAACAGTATGGATTCAGGGTTACCAAACAAAGGTATATACACTCTTGTGCTACTCAGAGAAAACAAATAGTTAAAATGGTGGAAAGCTAATAAAACACCCAAATTATTAACAGGGGTCAGTGCGTAGTCCTATACTGTTTAACACATCCTAAAGATATTACAAGAGTCCCTATCAGGGGTGCAGACAGATCAAAATGTATTCGTCATTACAATAATTTATGTAAAATTCCAACACGAATCAAAGGCGTGCAACTGTTGCAATAAAGAAGGCGCCAATCCGTTTATTAAAAGCTTTCCTATAATGATTCGAGCGGATGCTGCTTAGTCATTCCGATGGGTTTTTCTGCAACCTAATCGGGGTTAGTATTACATTGAATTTAATAATAATTGAAAGGCGAGGTTTCAAATTAGCATTCACTAGCCACAAAATCATAATTTCTTTTTCCCAACCATAATATAATTTATATTTCATATATATACCCAAATAAAGTTATTGTTTCAACGACCCCGGCTAAATTTAGTTTAACGGGCGACCTTTTAAGAATACATTTACCTCTGGCTGGAGACATAAACGTTGACGTCATAGAGCTTATTCTAAGACGCCAATCTATCAAACAAAAGTTTATTTTAATAATAATTACAATATTTACGAGACCGACGATAAGCATCAAGGTCGGATTTCATCCAAAAGCTGAATCGTGTGTTGTAAAGCCCAGACGCTGACCTGGCAACAAATGTAAATAACCCAATAATTCAAATTTAAAACGCGTTTGCATATAAAACACGGTTATTTGATAGACTTGAGGTTAAATAGCGTGTCAACGTATGTCTGATTATCCTCAGTGATAATTAGCCTGTTCGAATGACCTTTAGGAAAAATGCGCATCAATTTTCAATTACCTACTTGTCTATATGATGAATTAGGATTATTTCTAAAAGGGCTTTGAATAAGTACCTACACAACACAAAGATGAAAGACTTTAAAGACTCTCCTGTAAATTAAACATAGTTTATTCAAGGTTTGTTCAACAAAATTATTATTATAGTAAATAGACAATAGGAAAATACTCGATAGGGTGTTTTTGTCGTGTTGACCAACTGCTTCGAGGTCCAGCAAGTAAGGATTCGCTGTCCCTTGTTCTTCAAAACATCCCTGTGCTAGCGCAGAAATTATACAGTATCTGGGAACAAGCTTTTTCTTTGAATCCTCAAAATCAATTTTCTGTTACATATTCCAGGCAAAAACGGAATTTTGCTTGGTAAGTCAAGTAAGTCTGGCAATGGAGGCGAATCCGTTTATAAATTTTCTGAAATAACTAGCTGGTCCCAAAAATCTTCTAACGTTATTGGGTGTTGGAAATTCAGAAAAAAAAAATTCAAAATCCTGACATGGTATTGAACAATTGCCCATATCTTTGGTAAATTTTGAACAAATTAAATTAAATTATATACCATTGGAAAGAGCATTAAATTCCCCTTATGAAAAACTCGATTTTTTTATTTTTCAGTTTTGCTCAATTTTGAGTTTACTGATCGATAGAGCGGGTAAAAATTAGTGAAAAACAACCCTGACATCAATTCCAAATGGCCATTTTAAGCAGAAACAAAAATAAAAAGAAAATTCTATTTTTAACGCTGGAAAATTTTCAAAATCCTGACTAGGTCATGAACAATTGCCCATATGTTTGGTAAATTTTGAGCAAATTAAATTAAATTATATACCATTGGAAAGAGCATTAAATTCTCTATAAATTCGTGCAAAATTGAGTTCAATATCTCAAATAGTTCTTGAGCAGTTGAATCTCAAATTTGACTTTTGGTCCAAATTTTATCAAAAGTTTCAAACTCAATTATGAATCCGGAAATTTTGTAAATGACAGGCCATTTAGAACTTAATGAAAGCTAGAAATAATATTCTATGTAATAGCATTTATTTAACCTGGTGTAAAACCAGCTTCTCTAAGAGATATTCAATATCTGTTTCAGCTTTTTAAATCCATCTAGTAATGATATTGACGGTATTAACATTCGAATCGCAAAAAGCCCAAGACTTGATTCATTTTTCTCTGAAAAACCGCAGGAGCATTTACAAGTCCAAATGGCATTCGCAGGAACTTGTAGCTTAGAACTGGGAACCCGAACTGCATCTTTATATTGGTGATTGCACTACTTTTGATTATTTCAAAGTCTTAAAAGATGAAAGTGGCCAATTTTTTTGTTTACCCTCCAATAATTTGATACTTACTTTTACCTCCACCAAAAAAAAAAACTCATGACCTCTTTTTTCTTCCAGCTCCCTGACCACAATGAGCCACAGCCTCGAAGACATCGCCTCCTGGGGCTTCAACCACGCCGACACTATGCTAACAATCGAAGAGCTCCGCGATCAGCTCAACTGCTGCTTCACCTGCGGAGTCTCGTGGGCGGATCGTCACGTTTCTCTGGATTGTTCCGAGTGCGGAGGCTACTCGATGGAGAGACCTTGCCCTAAGTGCGAAGGGGCTTGCGGTTCGACGTGGAAACGTGATTTGAGCACCTCGCACTCGAGCAACAAAGCCAAGTGGACCGGCGAGTGCCGTCGCTCGCAACCCGAAAAGAGCGAGTCGGGCTCCGCCTCCCCTGTCAGCCAGGAGCTCAGTAAACGGCTGGAACGTTTGAGCGCCACTTCGTGACGTCATTTTACCCTATAACTTTAGTTTTAATTTAAGCTAAGCTAATACAGGGAGTTATTTATTTTACACGTGTGTTAATAATAAAATATCAAACCCTCGAAATTTCTTGTGTGTTCAAGGAATAGATTCAAATTGTTTTACATTAAAACCTTTAGTTAAGTTTAATTGATAATGCTTTTATAACCAAAAAAAAAAAAAATCAAGGTACCACCCAACATGTTCGCTACGTTTACATCATTTTTTGTTTTTTGGTCGAGGCCTCAAAAAAACTGTCTTCAATCAAAGAAACCCTTGTAATCGCAGTGGCTATAGTTAATTCTATCTCATCGTTTCTAAGTAAATTATTGATAATTGATATTGGTAAAATCAAATCGTTGTACGTTTTTTTTTATATTCAATGTAGTTTAGTATATTACTAGAAATAGTATATAATACGAATATTGATTTTCTTCTATGTATGACTGAACATTATTAAGTGTAATAACTGTATTGTTTAATAAATAAATCTATATAAGAAAAATTATTATTTTTATTTTCACATATTTAATTATACAGATGGCCTAACATTGGCTGATAGGCAAGATGAGAAGCATTCAGGATTGCATCTCTGGAATAAGATATTTAGTAAGACCTATAGTAGATAAACTCTCTACTAGTTTTTTATGGATAGTTTCCTGCATATTGTTGGAGTTTGGTACAGCGATGTCAATCTCTTTTTGTTGTTTGTTAACGAGAGTGATATTTGGTCTACTGACAACAATGTGTCTATCAGTTAGTATTGATCTGTCCCAATAGAGTCTGAATTTATCATTCTCACGCACATTTTCTGGAAGATATTGATAGTAGTGTTCGGTTTCTGTAAGGATTTCGTACAGTTTAACCAGATTCAGGTGAACTATTTTGGCTACACAGTACATAGTTATGCCTATGAAGGTACTCAGTAGTGCTGTACATCCTGCTCACGTATTTTTTTATAGTTTGCTGTAGGTATAACCATATCTTGTATAGCCAAATAGAAACCGTCAGTCTATGAAAAAAGCTCTCCCTGTATAAGCTACAGATTTGATGCCTCAGGGTACACATTATCGGCCGACAGCTTATACAGGTGTTTTGCATGCAATGCCTTCTGATTCTATGCTGCAATAAGTTGATTATCTCGTTCAACTTTCGTAGGTGCTGTGATTTCCATGTTAGCAGAGTGAAAGTTCAATGGAGTGTAACCTTTATAGAGCGTTTGTGTTTTGGTTGGATAGAAAGTATTATCGCAGGTTATCAATGTGTTGTTGGTGCATGTACTCCATATCAATAAGGCCTCTACCCCCCTTTTTTCTGGGTAAGAATAACCGTTCAACAGCGGCTCTATGATGACCTACCCGGCACTTACAATCGTTCTCGTTTTTTTCTCTATTTCTTTTCTAATGGTTCTAGTCCACTTTATGATGCCAAAAGTGTATGTCATAGAACCGGAGTCGCATAGGTATTTATAATGTGTTCTTGGAGTTTAATTTAGCCTTCAGAATATCGTTGACCCTCTTTGTATAAGTTTCCGTGACCTGTTGTTTTATATTACTTTGTGCTCAGTCCCCACTGATTCATTGGGCGCGTTCCAAGTGACTAAGCTGTTGAACTGAGCAGGAAAAGGCTCACACTCAACAGTCGTGGGGTCTTGGAACGCTCGGCTTAATTTTTTGGCGCTTACTGTCAGTTGTCCCCATAGCTGTTTTTGTTTACATGTTTTCGGTACGGTAATTTATTTCATTATTTGTAATTTGTTTGGTTTAGTGCCACTTTTATGCTGTTGTTGTAGAGCTGTTAGAATGGAGGAATTAGTTAACAACTTAATTCAGCCTGCTAATTTGATGGGTCCCTCTAGAGTTCAAGCTATAAGAAATCATGATTATTATGAAGAAGTAATTCCACATTATACACCTGACGACTTAGCTGATAAAGCTAAACAATAGGGGGCGATAAAGAAAAGGTAAAAATAAGTTACAGTCCGTCGTTTTTAATCTGACACTTTCCGTATGAAGAGTAAGGGGGTGTTTCATATGGTAAAAACAGGTGTGGCGTCAGGTAACCGTTGGCGTTCTAATCTAAGGAGCCACCAGCTCCACATTCCTTTGGATTATCAGATTAAAATCGACAGACTTTACGGTAGTTGAGATGGCACGTTTAAGACACAAACTGCCAACAGTCAGTAGATTACCAGTCTAAATATCAGTAGAAATCAGTAGACCAGATAAGTTGCCTTGTTGAAGGGATAAACCATTAGGGTATACTCAATTAATTAGTTTAACTACGTTTCTTCAAACCATTAAATCATTAGACTATGAAAATTTGCATTAGAAAATCAAACGCCAATACTACTTATGAGAGTTAGTTTCCGATTGGTAGATTCAGTGCGCAATGAGTGTATTTGCATCCTTTTAATCGACCTGTAGAAGAAAAAGACAGAAATAGAAAAAATTGCACTAGTTCTGCACTAGATCTACCAATCGGAAACGCCAATTATTAGTTTATTAAGATTAAGACACATGAGATATTCCTATTAAATATGCACTACCTATGGGATGCCCTATATTTGGTTCTATATTCTTGTAGAGTACAATTTCCCGATTCCAAAATCATATAGTTTGTCTATATTTGGTTGAGCCGGCTTCAACATATTTGGTTCTAAAAATTTTAAATATACTATCAGAAAAACCAAGTAAAGTTCGTTTCACCAGGGTTCATACTTGACCTTGAAACTTGAAAAAAAAGGTTGTCGTAGATTAATTCATATGACAAATTCAATTTTTTTGACAAATTGAAATGAATGACTTCTGGTTTGAGAACCGACGAACGTTTTTGACGTCGTTGATTTGTTTCAGTCAATTTTTATTTGTTAAACAAGGAAGGCAAATGCTGGTGGCAAGTACAAACCCTGGTGAAACAAACTTTACCTACCTATATCAAATTTTACCTGCAGCTTTCACCTGTACAGGTAGAGTGGTTCACAAAATCAGTATAGTATGTCCTGTTCACAATCTGATGTCCACAGGTGCAGGTAAATTTATCACCTTTCCCTATCAAATAGCATTGAAAGGTGATAAATTTTACCTGTACCTGTGGACATCGGATTGTGAACGGATAATAGGATAGTATTTTTACAATTTTTGGAGCCAAACATATGAGAGACTATTGAATCAAATATAGAAAACTATATATTTTTGGAATCGGAGCATTGTACTCTTCACAAGAATATAGAATGAATGAAATATAGGGCATCTCATTTGAAAAAAGCTGAAAGTATGCAAGATTTCACACTTCTGACATTCAAATTTTGTTTCTGACTATGGTTTCTAAAAATTCAACCAAAACTGTACAACTTTTTTATTTATACCTTTTTTGTATCTGGAGGTAAAAAGGAGGTAGGTGGAGCGGGACGAGCGCAGCAAGTTCCGCAGCCATCTACTCACCAATATACTGCTAAACTATTCAAGTAAGACATTCATCTGAAACGTGTAGTTTTTAAACTAATGAGAATAACTCACATTTGACTAAGTCAGGTCAGTATCGTAATTAAACAACATATTGATGAATAGATGGCTGCGCAGAGGTCCCCGGGCCCTTATAAGTTCCGCATTAATTCACTCATTTGTACTTGAATAACTTGTCACAATATATTACTAGTTTGATAAAGTAACATTACTAATTCCTGTTGAAAGGCGAATTGACAGAAAGTGAATAATCATAATCTTACAAATTTTGAGGTTATATAATAAGTTATTGTTCAAGTACAAATAAGTGGATTATTGCGGAACTTATGGGTGGACCACTGCGGGACGAGCGCAGCGAGTTCCGCAGCCGTCTACTCATCAATATACTGTTGAACTGTTCAAGGAAGACATTCACCTGAAACATGTAGTTTTTAAACTGATGAGAATAACTCATATTTGAGTGAGTCAAGTTAATATCGTAATTGAACAACATTTGATGAATAGATGGCTGCGGAACTCGCTGCGCTCGTCCCGCAGGGGTCCACCCTCTATGGGTCCACCCATAAGTTCCGCAACAATTCACTAATTTGTACTTGAATAACTTGTTACAATATATTACTAGTTTGGTAAAGTAACATTACTAATTCCTGTTGACAGGCGAATTGACAAAAAGTGGATAATCCTACAAATTCTGACTTTGTATAATAAGTTATTGTTCAAGTACAGAGTGTTTTTTCATATATTGACAACCCACCTACAACCTTCACCTTTACAAGTAGATGAAAGGTGTAAATACAAAAGTTGTACATTATTGCCTAATTTTTAGAATTCTTAGTCAGAAACAAAAATTGAATGTCAGAAATGTGAAATGTTGCATGGCATGCTTTCAGCTTTTTTTAAATGGCTAAATCAGTAGATCTACTGATAAATCAGTAGACCTGGCAACACTGACTGCCAAAAACCGTACGCCGTACAATTAAAATGAAGTAATACCCAGAAAAACAAAAACAGCAACTGTGCGCATGTCACAACCATTTTGACGGCGGTGAGTGTAAAATTTCTCCGCTCAGCGAAATAGCTAGCTGCTGAGACTGAGCGTTCAAGGTTACGGCTTTTGGAACGCTACGCTCACTAAGCAGTCTCAACGGTTGTGCCCCTTGGAACGCACCCATTTTCTGCATGCCCAAATATTTGTACGATTCGCTCTCAATTAATGGTTCTAATGTTGCGTGCTTGCCACTTGTCGATTGTCGAGATCAAAGTCCATGTGAATATCGTTGGAGAATATCACCACGGTTTAGGGATGCGATTTTTAGTACTTTTTAATGAACTAGTTCAGTAGTACTCAATCCTCAAAATGTATTAGTACAATGTACAGGGTGCTGCAATTTGGAGTGTTTTAACAGGAAAAACACACTTCCAGACCAGATAGACGAAAATTGACTTAGATGTCATGGGATTGATTTTCGAGAAACGTCGAATGTCAAAAACCGCATCGCGATATCTTCAATGGTACCATTAATACAGGGGATTTTCGATTTTTCCATATTATGAAAAATGGCTATAAGTTTTTTATTTGTCAATTTTTTTTATTTCTGTAAAAACATTATGGAGACACTTTTTTGAGCACAATCCAGTGGCGGACTCAGATTTTTTCTATATTGTTCCGATTTCGAAATATCGACCAAACTCCGATATTTTCAAATGAAACACCCTATGTATTAATAGCTCATTGGATAGCTCTGTTTTTACTGATTTCAATGATATAAACTTCGATAGGTTTATCTCTAACAGTTTTCAGTCATAAGAAACAATGTGTTAGAAAGAGACCTTCCTCTTTTTCCTTACACATATAAAATCCTTTTCTAACACATTGGTCCTTACGAACAAAAACAGATATAATGTTTTTTCTCGAAAACTGTTAAAGATAAACCTATCGAACTTTATATCATTGAAATCAGCAAAAACAGAGCTATTAATATTTAGGGTGTTTCATTTGAAAATATCGGAATTTGGTCGGTATCTCGAAATTGGAACGATATAGAAAAAAACTGACTCCGCCACTGGATTGTGCTCAAAAAAGTGTCTCCATAATGTTTTTACAGAAATAAAAAAAAAAGATAAATAAAAAACTTACAGGCATTTTTCATAATAGGGAAAAATCGAAAATCACCCTGTATCATTGGTACCATTAAAGATATCGTGATACGGTTTTTGACAATTGATGTTTCACAAAAATCGATCCCATGACGTTTAGGTCAATTTTCATCTATCAGGTGGGGGATTCTCATCCTCTAGTCGCAACCTATCGTCCCGACTATCCCATTGCTTTTCTACGGGTGAGTCGGGACGATAGGTTGCGACTATAGGATGAGAATCTCCCACCTGGTCTGGAAGTGTGTTTTTCCTATTGAAACATTCCAAATTGCAGCACCCTGTATACTAATTCTTTAGTACATCTTCGAAATACTTACGAAAAAGGGAAACTAGGAAAAATACATGAAACTTTATTTAGTATTTATCAAAAATAAAATGAATTATCCGGGTTCTAAAAGATCTGTTCCCACAGAAATCACAGCGCATTTCATTGGTTGGAAAATAGTAAGGAAACTGGTTGTTGGTTGTTGGCGATTTGGACCAATCAAAAACGTGGTATGTGATTTCTGTGGAAACAGACCTGATAACTGTGTTCCGTTTTTGCTTTTGGTTAAGTACCTAGGTTTCTTCACATTCCGTCCTCATAGATTTTTGTTTGTTATAATTTTTTCTATGTATTATGATGAAAAGAATGTACTATAATATTATGGGACTCTAATGTTATGGTATTAGTACATATAGTACATTTAAGGGATCAGTAATCAGTACAATTGTACTAGTTCGTTCATGTACTACACATCCCTACCACGGTTCTGAGTAGCGATTCAACGTGTGTTTTAATGCCGGCGTACAGTTTGATGTCATCCATGTATGTACAGGAGATGGGTGATTTTGTGCAATATCTCCTTTTGGTGTTTGATTGAGAATCCATGGTCACTTGTATTTAAAAGTTGAGAGAGTGGATTAGATATGGCATCAAACAAAACTATAGGGGACTTAACGAGTCTCGTTGGAAGATACCTCACTATATTCTTATTGGGTCTGTGCTTATGTTGCTAGAATTAAAGGTGATTACCATGGACCAGTTCAACCAGTTGTTCATTATAGGCACCTATACTGTAGTATGCCACGAATATCATCGCTTATTTTATACAGTTCTAGGACTTTAAGTATCCATGAGTGTGGCACTGAGTCAAATGCCTTCCGATAATTTATGTAGGCTGTAAAGAGATTCCTATATGTTCTTGTATCGCTTGTTTTAGGATTGCTGCATCCAGGAGAAGTTGCTCTTTACAACCTTGCGATTTTTTAATGCAACCTTTTTGTTCAAGGACAATTAGGTATATCGTGCAACTGACACTGTTTGTATACTTTGTTAGGTACTTAATGCATGCAGTTAGTAATTTGTAGATTGTCGGGAGGCATTTGGTGGGTCTATATTTTGCAGGGTCTTCGATGTTTTTGTCTTTAGGTAGGTAATAAATATGTGGTGTCGTATGTGCAGAAGCCCGGAGTCTTTGATGGATCATGGATCTAGTAGGCATCCGTTGAATCCTTTGGCAATTCTTCTATGGGTACTTTTGAATTTCTTGTACCAGAATATTTGAATTTTGTCTCCGCCCGCCGCTTTTCAGTTGGCTAATGCCTCAAAATTATAATAATTATTATTATTCTTTCATATATAGGTTCAGAGCTCAACAAGAGTTCAAAGTAACGTATCAGTTTATCCAAACACTTTTCTTAGGATGTGTGCAGTGCCTAGGAGAACAATTTTTTTGTAGCATCATAGATGATGGATGACCTGGTATTTCACTTGTTCTCTGCTCCAGTTCTTTTGTGACGGTACCTAATGCTCCAGTCACTACAGGAACCACCCTTGTTTTGACATTCCACATTCTAGATATTTCAATTTCCAGATCTTTGTATTTACTTAGTTTTTCAACTTCTTATCATGGACTACAATACGGTCAGTATGGATAGGAACATCATATAATATTGATGTCAAGATCATTATATTTAATGTTAACAACTTTTTCAGGGATATGTTGGTAATATTTCTCTGTAACATTAAATTTATAATAGTTACATATAACCCATTAAATATAATCCGCAACTTTATTGTGCCTATGTGTATATTCTATTCTGACGGTGCTATTGTCGAACATCCCGCTATAATGAGGCTCACATGTTCCTCAGCCTTTCCACACATTCTACATTTGCTGTCAACTTTCTGTTTGAAGATGTTTTTCTGCAGATATCTCATGTGAGATCCCAAATTCAGAAACTACTGGCCGCACCTAATTACATGGAAATCTTATTGGTCGAAGGAATTTACTTTAATTATGAACACTTAATAAAAAACTCGAATATTTTCGCGCTGTTATTTCACCTCGTGCTTCTTCTCTCGGTTAATTCCACAACTATTTCACGCCGTAGTTCTGACTTTCTGGACACAGGTCTCTCAATTCTCGATTACTACTTGTTTCTTGATTACTCAACCGACACTGGTCCTTCACGCCGTAGTTCTGCCGGTTTACTCGCTCTTTCTCGAACACTGATTTTCTCCTGCCAAAGTTGCCTTTTTATATCATTGGTCCCTCCATTGTCTTGAATTTCTTTATTTTTTTCTGACCTCGATTCGTGGTTGAATCATCCGATCAATTAGTGTATTTGGTCCCCTTTAAATTAATTATCAAGGGCGTCGCTAAGTGGTTTGTTAAGTGGGTATCATCATATAGGCCCGTGCATGATTTATTAATCCTTTTAGAAATTTTTCGGCTCCTTTAGAATGTTAATTGTTGAAAGCACTTAAGAAAAAAAGGTCCATGAACTTTTGCTTTATTCACATTCTAATGTATTAGTCAATATAGGGTATCGGCTTTCAATAATTTCTGGATATCGATGTTCAGATAAATTTTAATTGAAGTTTCTGGTTGTGCTGTCTAAGTGCTGATCTCTCCTGGGATGGTTGTTTGGTCAGTCCTTGTTATTCTTGATTAAAATTTCTGTAGTCACTATAATTATTTCCAATACCTACGTGTGCGAGTGCTGTCCAAAAAACTGACATACTGACAGATAAATCAAACATATTGACATCAGTCAACATTTAAAATAAACCTGCAAGACTTAACATTCTCGAGAGCATGGAAGCCTCATCCAGTGTCCGATTCATCGATATGCGTTCATGGAAAGCAACGGCCAGCACCTTGTTCGGCGAAGTTCCAGCTTCGGCCTCGAATTTTGTCAGCAACATGCCGTCCAGCCCTTCAATGATGAATTACATGCCCACATCTATTGGAGGCAGTTTCACTGATCTTAAACAGCAAGATTCAAATCCGGTGATGGGTTTAGACTTTCTAAATTGATTTTGAAATAAAATCATAATATCCTTTTTGCAGTCTGCCACTAATTTAGAGAAAAAAGAGTTTCCTTATCCGAATAAAAGCAATGATTCTCTTGTTGATAGTCTTAAAGAAGAAGAAGGTAATTAGTTTATTGTAATAAATAGGTATATTGAATTAAAGTTTGATGGATTAGGACCATGGGTGACCTATAGATTTCAACTATCAAAATGGGACTCAAAATTGGAAAACGATCAACCAAAAGAAACGCTTGTGGATGGATTCGATGGGGTATTAACCAAACAAATTGTTGCAAGGACTTTATCCAGAATAAAAAAGATTCCTGAGTTTGTTGACGATTATGCTTATACCAAATGCGTTTTAACTAAAAAAGTAATTATTTTATTAAATAAAATAAGTACCTACATATACATACAAATAATTTTTATTGCAGAAATTAACCAATATAGATTGTTTGAATTCCTATCAGTACCTTCAATATCTCGACGTTTCTTCAAACAAACTCACTACATTGAAACCATTAGAAAATTTATGTTTCCTCAAAATTCTAGATGCCTCGCATAATTCGCTCACATCTGTATTAGATTTCAAGGCCCCATTTTTCTTGACCACCGTCAATTTGTCTTACAACAGATTCAAACACATAAGAGATTTGAGCCAATTTTGGTCTCTGACCGATTTGAATTTGTCGCACAATTTCATCAAAGCTATCGATGGGCTTGAAAACTTACGGTAAACTTAATTTTAAAATGTTTGTATTTACTAAATATTTCAACTTATTTCTAGTTATTTAATGACTCTTAAACTTAACTCAAATCGTATAGAAATCCTGGAAAACTTGGACGATCTCAGATTGCAATTCCTTTTTCTCCAAGATAACGTGATTAAATTGGACGAGGCCGATGAAACTGCCAACATTGATTCAATGAAAATGTTACGAACGATAAATTTGAGTTACAACCAAATTACTTCGCTCAGGGCTTTCGAAAACGTCCTAAATTTGGAAAGCTTGGAAATTGTCAACAATAACATATCAAAGCTGGTCGATATCTATTATTTAAGACACCTTAAGTTTTTGAATAAGTTGAATTTGACCGGCAATCCTGTAACCAATGTTAGAAGGTACGTTTTCTGGTTGTTTGGAGATCAGTATTATTGAATTAGAAGAGATTTTAGGTACATTGAAGTCTGCCTGTTGAATATTAAAAATTTGGTTTTATTGAACGGCGAACACGTTAATTCCGACTTTTGGCTGGAAAAGTTGAGCAGCATAATGGGTACGAATCAATCTCAAGCTGAAGCCAATGAGAGATTGAGGCTACTTATGTTGGAAGAAGTAAGTACAAGGTTTTTATTACGTCTTGTATTCTTTGTAATCTTTCTTCTTCTTTCAAACATTAAAATCTCAGTATTATGTGTCCTCTTGTATTCTTTTCCTATTGGTTCATTTACTGTGTCTATCTCATCAAACGTTTCTGTCAAACATTTTTTCCTATTATACTCACTCTCATTAAATTTCACATCTCTTGCAATAATCATTTTTTCTATATCCCATAATCTATAAACTGCCTGAGTATTCCTCATCATTATGCAGCATTTCGTAACTTTCGAATCAAATTCACCTCGACATTCTTTTGGTATATGATTGTAGCATATGAAGCCAAAAACTCTAAAATTGCTCACATTTGGTTTCCGACCATATCCAAATCTCTAACGGAGTTTTGTATAATCCGGAAGATGTTTCCTCTGTATTATTTACCATAAAAATAGTATTCTAAAAATAGATGCCTGTAAAACCGGCAACAACAACCCTTTGAACCGGTAAAATTACAGGTTTCTTCATTACCTTATGAGGCAGTGGAGCTATTTCGCTGCTGTGATTGGTCAGCCGCCACAATGTTTTCTAGATTTTTGCGACCTGCTCCGGCAGAGCTAGTCGACGCACATTCGGCAGTACTTGGAGAATAAGCGAAGAGTTCGCACCCTCGCGCCCTCTGAATGCTCTCCAGAGGCAAAAACCCCCGTTAGTGCACGCGATTTATAGTAAAATACTACTCCCAGTGTCTCAAGGCCTGACATGGTCTATATAATTGATTACAATTCATGTAATTAACCCCTAATTGTTGCAAGTCACGTCGGACGAGCAAAATTCTCTCCTACACCTGTTTTTTGGTTATCTCTCTCACTCTCGTCGGGCTCCAAAGCATCTGTATATCCTTGTGTTTTCTTTTCATCTCAATTCTCAGTGGAAAATTCCTTAGCTGTCAGTGCGAATAGTGATAAATGGATAAATAATCGCCTTATGGATTTATTTGTATGAACTGGATTAAGCAAGTAAGACCGTTACAATTTCTCTAACAGTCGAACAATAAGTTAAGAGGGGCGTCAGATAAGAGCCAGCCTGCCATCTTTTGGGCTTTATGACATACATTAAATATTTTTTAATCACAGGTGTTCAAATTCTATGTAAGCGATTGACTAATTTGCAAGTAGATGGCGACATCTTCAATATCAATTAATTTACACAGTAATTTACAGTGGACTAAATAATTTTATTCAGATACAAATGAAATAATAGTATTTCACATTATTAGCTAGGTTAAACAGTTTTTACTAGCGTTTGAAAGAAGTTATTATGCTTCCCGAACTCAGCGACATCTTTTAGAGAAGCGCTGAACAAAGGTTTGGTTTGAGTATTTGCTGAAAATGACAGCAATCACCTCGTTGTTTGACAGATTTTGATTAAATTTGTGATATAAAAATTTTAATTTTCGAAAATTCTGTTTTATTAATTTTTTCCAGCATTTTACTATCCGAAATTTTGGACATTTATTGTTGGTGTGCTACTCTATACAGGGTGAATTAATAAGCGCGCGGTAGTCCATATCTCCTATACTAACAGAGATCGAAGAAAAATCTAAATACAAAACTTGTAGATAAACATGTGTACTACATTCCTGAATTATTTTTCAGTATACAGAGTGACCCAATAACTAGTAGTGACACAAAGTTATGTTTTTTTAAATGACTTTCCCTGTATATTATAGCATTTTTGGATTCTGCGGAAAATTCTAGACATATTTCATGTACAATCTCATATACCTATCTTCAACTGTTTCGGATGTATGGACATTTGAAAATTGATTTTTTTGCATCTTTGACAAACTGTGAAACCTTAACAGTTAATTTTAGAGGAAAACGGATTTTACATTCCTGTCTTGGATTTTCATAAGCTATCATTTGACACCAACTTTGAATTTAACCGAAGATTAATAATTTAGGCGAAATTTTTAATCATGGATTAAATTCAAGATTTGTGTCAAATGATAGTTTATGAAAAACTAAGATAGGAATGTTAAATCCGTTTTCCTCTAAAATTAACCGTTCAGGTTTTACAGTCTGTCAAAGATGCAAAAAAGTCAGTTTTCAACTGTCAATATTTCTGAATCAGTTCAAGATAGGTATATGACATTGTACATGAAATATGTCTAGAATTTTCCGCCGGAAACAGAAATGTCATAATATACAAGGGAAGTCATTTATAGAAACATAATCCTGTGTCACTACTAGTTATTGGGCCACCCTGTATACTGGAAAATAATTTAGGAATGTAGTACTCATGTTTATCTACAAGTTTTGTATTTAGTTTTTTCCTCGATCTCTGTTAGTATAGGAGATATGGACCACCGCGCGCTTAGTAACTCTGTATATTTATCCCTTCTTCATTTAAATCCGTGACCAAAATTTGCATATTGTTGTCAACAAAATGGTAGTAATTTTACTATTTAGAATGCGCATTTTGCAACCAAAAATGCTTGAACTTCTACTCCAATCTATTATTGTTATGAACATAGGTTCATTTCACTGAATAGTGGTCTAAATTTGGAATTGAACAGGAATTAGTGAAGGTCTGTAAATGACATTTTATTTAAACGCCCCTCTTAATAAATACTGATTAGTGATTCTGTAGCAAAACGCCCCAAGTACTCTATTTAATTAGTTAGATGGTAAATGGCGAGCGGTATATTGATGGTCTTTATTTCCTTGGAGCTGCTACCTATAAAATTGTGGAGGAGTCTATTTGCAAAAGAGAGAGGTTTACTAAATTATATTTTATTATACATAAAACCAAAAATGTAAAACAGCAAAATATCTTCCAATTCTGACAACCTCCTCTACTTTTCTAAATTCAATACTTCACATCCGTTCAAAATGTCATTATTACGGACCACTGAAATATCCCTACTAATAAAGAAACGCCCTATTCCTACTATTCCTAAGAACTTATAAGTTAACTCATTTCAACACGATTCATTCCTATTAAACTACCCTTCACCTATTTCTATAAAGTCCTTTACTGACTGCTTATGAAAAACCCAAAATAATTACCTATTTGTTTATTAATATAGGTATTACTAACTTATTCTTATTAAACCTTACAATAATTTCTACATGAAATTTAAAACCCTAATTCAAAATTCATTTCATGAACAATAAGTTTCCTTTAATAACTTTCCAATATTTTAAGACAACAATTCTATTTCATGAACATCAAGTTTCTTTTCAAAATTTCCTATTCCATTTAATAGTTTATTTAATCAGAACAAATTCTATTTTCGGATACTTATGCCTAGCTAATAAACCCAACTGTTTAATTCATAATTCCTACTCAAAATTGTATATTGTTAAGTGCATTATAAATTCCCTTCATATTTTCCTTGCACAATTAAATTAGAATGTCATTATATCTGAAGGCAATTAAAGTTATGCAATAATGTTCCATAGTCAAAACACTCGAGTTATTAATATTTATGCAATAAAGTTCCAAAATTAATTATAAAGTCGAAAAGTTTTTCTAGTAAAAATCACTCAAGTTTTTAGGCATTAAAAGTCATTGTTAATTCATTTCTTATCATTCAGAATCATTGATAAAAGTCAGAAAATTATTAACCACTAAAGTACTTACATTAAAATTTTCACACGCAAAATTACTTAAATATTAACTCAAAATTCTCTAAATCCCGCACATAAGTTGAACGAATTTCAAATGTTATTTCTTTCACAATTTTCCGTACTTTTCCTAAGTTAAATTAAACCCGAGGCCATACGCCATAAAATAAACTTTTCGCGAAACCAGACAGACTTTAACTCAAACTGGACTGGACTGCTAACAACTGGCAACTCAACTGAAAACTGCCTTCCACTTCTAAAACCGCGGTATTTATATTTAATCGATCCCCCCGCAAAGTATTATTAATTATCCCCCAAAATCGTCAATAGGCGGTCGTTTGACCATCAATAAGACAATCCCATTGGCCGTCCTAGATATTATTTAAAATAATGATGCAATTTCCTTGAAATTTTTATCATTTTTAGTTTAAAAAATCGAATAATTATATCGCAATATCCTGATTTATCGAGATCAAATACATTGGTTCAAGAATGCCATAAATCATTCGATTTAATTATTTGGCCTCGCTAAAAAAAGTTCATTGATCGGATGTTAGGATGATATCACGCTGGGGAAATAATATAATTTCGAATGTATTTGGGGTCACATTAATTTTTTCCATTTTTAATTTATCGATACTGATTTGGAAATACCGGAAATTCAGTTTTTGATTATTTGATATTATTTAATTTTTACAGTAAAGACATTGTGATCTATTTTCTGGATCATTACATAGTCATTGGTATAATAGTATTTTGTCTGCTACTATTCTACAAGCCTTAAGCATAGTAAGGCGTCCGCAAAGAAGAAGAAGGAAATAGACAAAAATTGAGACGAAGAAATATGAGAAATGGAAAATTGAATTATTTTACACGTTGTTGCACGCTTTTTTCTTTCCATATAATGATTAAAAATTGCAATTTACCAATGATCAATTCACTATCACTTGCCACCATCTTGAGGTTCTTCAAGATTTTTTTCTCCTCTACTTGAAATTTAAATTTCTCCTCCATTTCCTTCGCTATTAAACCGTGAAAATTGGCTTTTAGTTAAATCCGCCTCAAATATGGAGCTGGTTAGTACCATTTGATCGACCTCCATTAGCTGTTATAGTCCTGGTAGGACTCCAAGCCTCCAGACGAGCTTATACGGCCCGGAAATTTTGTAGTAATCACAAAAAGTAAAAATACACCATTTACAAATAATTTTGTCATTTAATAGTTCAATTTTTCTTTAGTGTGGTAGTTGGTATTCCACATACCACCAAGCCGAAACATCCTAACGAAGTGGATGGAGACTATTTCTCTTTTATCGAAAAAGACAAGTTTTTGGAGATGCTGAAAAAGGGGGAATTTTTGACTTATCAGGAAAATGTTGGCAATTATTATGGAATTGGTAATATAGCATCTCACATGAAAATAAATTTTAAAGAAACTTTTTTTCAGCTCATAGCGAATTTAAAAAAGCCGAAAAAGCCATTATAATGTTTTACACCGACCTTACTATGGCGTTGGCGATAAAAAGGAAATTCTTGAACACCGTGTTGGTGTTGGCCATTCCCAGTACGAGAAAAGCTCATTTGGACAGGCTCAGCAATTTATTTGCCATCCATTTAATGTACATACTTCGAACTTTTCCCCAATGAATTTAAAATAATTTCCCATATTATAGCGACAAAAACACTTTCAAAATCCAAATTGCTCCAGTGGTTGCTACGGCTTGTCAACGCACGTTTGAAATCGAGAAGCAACGGGTGCTGAACAAATCAGAAAATGATAGTTTAGATGATGATGATGAGAAATCAACCGGTGAAGGTGTCCACCCTTTATTGAAAGTAGATGAAAATGATATTGACACCATTTCGAGTGATTCATTTTGGGACGCTCAGATTGATTTCGAGGATTACAACAAAGCGAGCATTAGCGATATTATACAGATTTGGTGGGCTCACACTACTCCTGCACATTCGTAAGCATTATTTTTAAGATTTTGGTTAGCTTAAATAATTTTTTGTAGATTGAGTATGATAATTGCACCAACTGCCCTGTCCTCAATGCACATCTCCAAGAATGCTAATTTAAGCAGAGAAGATTCTAAGGTAATCTTTGCTTTATTAGAAATCGGAGTTTGATAATTGTATAGCTCATATCAATTCTAGATTGATAGGAGATGGGAATTTCATTCTTCTCAGCTCTATAGGGGGGCAAAATGAGCAAGGACGTATATAAGGGGGGGGGGTTTGGGGATTCGAACCCCCGCCCTATTGAACTGAATAAATTATTTTTATTGAAGAAAAATAAACGTTTTTGGGCGAGGCACCCGAAAAAAAAATTCAGCTTCAGAGCTGTGCGGTACTCGGGTACGGTACGAGTACTCTTCATTTGTACTCTAAGTATATTTTTAGTAACTCGATACTCAGGCCAAGATACTTTCTGAATCGCGTACTTGTACTCGTACTTGGACTGCTTAAGATTTTAAGAATATGGAAAATAGGTACCCGGTACTTTTTATTGTACTCAGTAATTTTCAAAATACCCGCGTACATGGCGTTTTTACTTAAATACATTTGTTATACCCGGGTATTTTCATTGTTTTCGGATACATTTGCAGTTAGTGAGTAAAATTATTGGACTCTAACTTATAAATACATATTTATTTGGCCACAAGTACATTTCCAGACAAGTTGAGACATTAGGTCTGTTCCAACACGTCAAAAACCGTCCCATGAACGGTTTCGAAACCACTCAGTGAACGCATTTCGGTTTCTACACGCAAATTTTACAGTTTGCGCAGAATCATGACGATAAATTGTACGGTTTCCTGCTGTGTTGGAACAGACCTATTAAGTTACAGTTACGATATGACCAATTTTCAGCCATTTCTTGTTTAGCATCAGATGCTTATATAAGGCCGTTACACTGGGGGTGATACGCAGTAGTGTATTGGTTTCTTACTCCCATAATGTGCCCGAGTTCTTTTACCAAATCAGACTGAAAAACCCTTCCTCTATCACTCAACAATGTTCTTGGGACTCCATGTATCAATATAATATTTTCCAAAATAAATTTCGCCACTGGGCCTGCCTTCCCATTTGGCAGTGCCGCCGTGATTGCGTAGCGTGATGCATAATCTGTAGGGGCCCAGGCAGTTTCCTGTAAGGCTGTCCCTTCCTGGCTTGACAATCTATGCACCCCTTGACGTACTTTTCAATATCTTTCAACATTCCATCCCAAAAAAATCGGCTTCGTATTTTGTCCATCGTTTTGCTGAGACCCAGATGACCACAGGTTGGTGATGCATGCAGTTCCCATAGGATTTCTTCCCTCATTGACTTTGGCACAACCAGGACCTTATCTAGGCCTTTATGCGTTTTATTCATTATGTATAATGAATCATCTTCGATTCTGAAATTTTTTGCTCTCCTTCTAGTTCCAATATTAATGTCTGGATCGTCTGGGTTCTTCACTGCCTTTCGAATTTCTTCTAAATCCGGATCTCTTTTCTGCAATTTTCTCATTTTTACTGGCAGTTCCTCTTGTTTTTCGGTTTTATGTGGGTCAGATTGCAGGACTGGGTTTCGAGACATGCAATCATCATCTTTATGGTTTGAACCTTTTTTGTACTCCACCGTGTAGTCAAATTCCGCCAGTATTAATGCCCATCTGGCCAACCGTCTGTTGCGTTGCTTTCTTTGATGGTGTCCATCCAACAGAGTGCGTGATGGTCTGTTATAATTCTGACTGGTCGGCCGTTAATTAGGTTTCTTAAATAGCTTAGAGCCCATACTACACCTAATAATTCCAGCTCACTTATTGAATAATTTTTTTCGCTCTTGGATAGGCTTCTACTGATATATACTATAGGGTGTGCTTCCCCTTCATCGTCTTCTTGCAATAGTATCGCCCCGATCCCACATGTCGCTGCATCCGTGTGTAAAATCATGTCTTTATTGGGGTTGTAATGCTGTAGCACCGGTGTGGAAACAAGTTTTTCTTTTAGTGTTTTGAACGCTTCTTCCTCCTTGGAACCCCATTTGTATTTTATGTTCTTTTTTGTTATCTCATGCAATGGCCTTGCTAGTGTGGCGATATTACAAATGAATTTCCTGTAGAAATTGCAAAGTCCCAAGAAGCTTTGCACATGCTTAACCTTTTTGGGGGTTGGGAAGTTTTTTATGCATATAATCTTTTCTTCATCTGGCAAGACTCCTTTTTCGCTGACCTTGAATCTCAAAATTTTTATTTCCTTTCTCAGATACTCGCATTTGCTTGGTTTGAGTGTTAGGTTTGCTTGTCGTTATCGTTCTAAGACCTTTCTTAGTTTAGCTATGTGTTCCTCTAGTGTTTTTAAAAAGATTATAATGTCGTCCAGGTATATATAAGTACTTCCTTCCATTTCATGTCCCAAAATACTTGGTCTGCAAGCTCCTGAAAGGTGGCTGGAGCATTGCATAGCCCAAAACTGAGAACGTTGAATTCATATGTACCATGTCCCTGTGCGACGAATGCTGTGTATTGTTTTGATCCTTCTTCTACAAGTACCTGCCAGTAGTATCCCGAGAACATGTCCAGGGTGCTAAAGTATGCTGCGTCCCCTAAGTATGACAAAATATCGTCTATTTGTGGTAGTGGGTACGTTGATTTTTTCGTCACGGCATTTATTTTTCGGTAGTCTACACAAAATCTCGTTTTTCCATCCTTTTTCTTTACTAGAACCACCGGACTAGCCCACGGGGAGTGACAAGGTCTGATTACTTGGCTATCCAGCATCTCCTTGATTTGTTTATCGATTATTTGTCTTTTTTTCTGAAACACTCTGTATGGACGACTTTTTATTGGTTGCGCTTCTCCTACTTCTATCTTATGTGCTGTTAGGTTAGGTTTGTTCTTCCCATGTGTTTAGTTGATTTGGCGAAAACGTCATTATATTCTAGCAGGAGATTCTGGAATGCCTGTTTGGCTCTTTTGTCTCTAATGTTCTCTAGTTTGTGGTCTTCTAGTGTTATTTCCTCGGTTTCATCTAATATTTCTTCTTGAGTTTCTACGTGGTACAACGGGCTTTCGTTTTCCAACTCTTCCAAAAATGCTATGGTGGTTCCTGCGTATATGGTTGCTGGATTCCTTGTTTTTGACTGTATTTTCAGGACGAGGGAGTCCCCATCTGTGTTTTTGCGAGCCAGTCTAATTTGTATTTGCATCGGTAGCCTATTGTTTCTTTTATGTCATTCATTTTGCCCATGATTTCTAATTTGATTGTTTCTATTTGGTTCTCGGCTATAGTATAATCTCTCTTGGTTCCTATTTTAAGCGTTTTTCTTCGGGTGTCGGTGATTATCTGCATTAGCTGACCAATTTCCTCTTCGGAATTTTTTCCGGTCTTTTGTTGTTTTGCTGCCTGTTTTTGTATGCGGATTTCGATTCCTGAGTCTTTGAAAACATGATACAGCATTTGTTCAAATCTTCCCCATTCTTTTTCCAATCCCCATCCTTGTCTTGGGATGACCAACGTTGTGTGGGATTTAGATTTGCTAGTATTTTTTAGTGCTATCAGGCACCTGTACATGTTTCTTGGGGTAGGCTTTTTTTTCATCGTTTCTCTCGTGAATAGAAAAATTGTAGATTTTTTCCCGTAGTTTATCTCTTTCAATTGTCCAATGGTTCCTGGTTCCCTTTTCTTCGGGAGGCTGCGCCTGTATATGCACCTCTTTGTTATGTAGTTCTGGGTTACTCCGAATACCAAAACCGCGTCATTTGGTAGGTGATTTATGTCTCGATGTCCTTTCCTCAGGAATCTGCTTGTATCTGTCTTTCTTATGTGTATGTGGTCCTTGATAAACTTATTGAATTCTTCTTCATCTTTTTGAAAGCAGCTAGGTTCCGTGCTCGTTTTTTACGGTAATGAGGCTTGACAAGCTAATGTTCTGTTTATAGTCCTGATATAGTCGTATTCTATAGTTATTATTCAATATGAGTAGTTTTCTCGGTAGGTCTAGGATGGCTCTATTCTCTGTCAAAAATTCCATTTCCAGGATCATTGGTTGCCCTGACACTGAGATGTCTTTTGCATTGAGTATACCTTTCCACTTTAAGCTTCCTGCAATTTCCATTGTTTGTTGTTGTCCTTTTTCCCAAAACTGGTATTCGATGTCCCCTGCGGTGACTAATATCGTGTTATTATCTGTCTGTATTTTTCCTGTTACCAGTTGTGCTGGTATGACGTTATTTTGAGCTCCCGTGTCGACTATAGCAGACAGAGTCCTGTTATTTATTGTAACTGTGATGAATAAGATTCCTATTGTAGATGTATCCCCTAGGGCTAGGATGGCTCGGGTATCTATTTTTGCCATCCTTTTCCGTTTGGGTTCTGCTTTTGGCTCCTGCAGGTGGCTGCAAAGTGTCCCTGTTTTCCACAATTGTAACATATCGGATTATTGCCATAGTTTCGGGGACTATAGGCTCGATTTCTCTGTGGTTGGCTTCGGCACATCGCCGCAGCTTGTCCTATTTTTCCACAATTACCACATTTTTCGCTGCTTCTGTATTGCGTTGATTTATTCGGCTGTGGTCTGCTTCTGCATAGGGCCGCCATGTGCCCTTTTTTTCCACAATAATAACACACCACCTGGTTTCTGTTATTTTGGAGTCCCTGACTGTCTGCTCTTGATGGTTCATACCACTGTCTCTGGAAGTCCTCTTTTTTTATTTCTCTTACTTCTCTTTTTGGTGCTTTATCTATGGTCCCAGCAATTTCTTTCACTTTTTCTAGCGTGTCTGGTGGACCATTTGGCGGGTTCGTGAGCCAGTAATGGTGATAAAAGTTCTCTTCAGTCAACACTTTGCTGAAAATGGTAACAAATTCCTCTATATCTATGTTATTCCTGTAATCATGGTACAGTACTCTCAATTCGTACAGGTAATTCCGGACTGTCTCTTTTGGGTCCTGTTTTCGCTCCTCTACTTTCCTTTTTAGGGCCGTCAGATAGTTGGCGTCTTCAAATTCTTTTGAGAAATCCCTTACCAATATCCTCCCATTCGCTGTTTGGATTGTCTTGTTTATAGGTTTATACTCTTGGAACCATATGTTGGCAGCGCCATCTAGGAATGTTTCTAAGTACGTTATCTTCAATCCGTTCGCTATTGCCGTTCTCTCGTAACTCCTTGGAAATTCCGGCACTTCCGCTGCAAGGGTGGAAAGTTGGCGGGTTTATGAATTGGGGTACCGATGCCTTTTTTCCTGCTGCCATTGCAACCTGAATGGTTATATTTGCCATGACTGTTTAGATGTTTTGATCTGATTCTTCTTCCTCTGGTGTTTCTTTAGCTGGATTTATACAGAAAATAAAATAAAATAAGATAACATAAGATAAAATAACAAATACATAACTAATAGATTTCTTATTTTATTTGTTATTTTCTGTATAAACATTTTAAGAGTATCTCATGAGGTTAACTGTTATTTCTTATTTCTTATTTTATCTTATTTTATTTTATTTGCTGTATAAATCCAGCTTTTGTCTGCTGACTTTTTGTTATACGAATTTGCGTCTTCGTCTATGTTTTTTGGGGCAACCTGGTTTGCTTCTACCACAGTTTCTTTGTTTCTTTTAGATTATTAGTATTGTCTCCGTGTTCTTCATTTATATATTTTACGTATTACTTATTCCTGGTCTTAAAATTTCTGAGAAGTATAATTTTTGCTTTGTTCTTAGCTGAAATATTTCGTCTACAATGTGACTGCTTTCAGCGTTCGGACTTAGCTCGTTTTCGCTCATCAGTTATGTTGATTTTGAATTTATGAGTTTTTGTTTAAATTATTATTGACGAAATTATTTTTAGATATCTGGTGTGTCCCTTTTTTGTTTGGATTGGTTAAGGGAAAGGTTATAGGGGATTTTCCTTCCGTCGTTCAGAGTGGTCCTGACTGTTTCCCTTGGCTAGGTCGTCATCAAAGGTGTTCCAAGAAAGCGGCGCCTCCACCAAATGTCACGAAGCCGCTCTTGCTCCGCTACGTAGCTCGACTATTCACCCTAAAAATCAGAACGGGAAGGGAAAGGGAACACCAGAATAACCCTGGATAAATATAATATATTTAATGTTAGGGAAGAGATTACATTTAGAGTAAAATAACCAGTATTACCATATTGTCACCCTCCCAAGCCAGCACGTCCCTTCGGGCTGATAAGGATCTAAGGACACCTGAGCGAATCTGTCGGGTATAAGCCCAATTTAGATCTCTGTGGTCAGCAGTTGCTAAGAAAACCAAACCAACACCGACAATAGAAGCTAGGAAGCCTGTACTGTAGCGCAGAGTCTGGGTCGTCAGTTGAAATCTGCTCGAACAGAGATACGATACGCAATCCCTATTCAACCAGATAGCTCCCAATTTTGAGACGTATCTAACACGCCTACTGATACAGAAAAGCGCTGAGACACGACTGATTTGCCATAGTGTGGCAGTGGCTTTTATATCCAATATTTGCTGACTATAATTAGGTTAATTAGTCTGGTTGTGTTTTCTTGCTTAGGGCAGGTATTATAAAACTACCTTGAGAGTTAACTTAAAGTTAACTTCTGGAATTACATGTAATTCAAAAAGTTAACTTCAAGTTAACTGTCAAAGCAGTTTTATAATACCTGCCCTTAGTTGCAGTTATTTGTTTTAACCCATGGTTCAATGTATTGAATTTGGTTATAGCCCGTGGTCTCATGTAGGGTTGACAATATCAGGGCCGATCCTAGCAAGTGTGCAGCGCGTGCCACACACGCGGGCGGCCAAATCTAGGGGCGGCCGCAGGCAGCCTATTAGTTCTTTCATTCAAAATTCAAGCGTTGATTCAAGAAAACTTTTTACGAATTTCAAAATAAAACTAAGCTGAATTTTGAAAAACTACTAAAAAATCAAAATAAACCCCGATCTCCCGATAGCATAAATAGAAAGTTTAGTGCAGGAGTTAGTGTGTTGGCTTGAGTCATTAATGTTTTTGCTCTTAACAGTTAAGTCTTTACACACCCCTCATTGGATTGCATTTTTTTTTTTAAATTTGTAAGTAAATACTTTGTTTCACTTTGTTTTCTCAAAATGTTCATTTTTGTTCCTAATCTGCAAGAATAACTACCTACTAACCAAACCGTCCAATAGCACTAGGTAAATAATTTGCCAACAATTTAAGGTCTGTGAATTTAACCAACTGTTTTGGTCCTGTCCTAAGTGCAGGTGGAAGTGGGTATGTTATGTAGAGTATGTTAGGTATATTTTCTAATTTCGTACCTACTTAAGCCCTACTTAGTTTGAGGATAGTAGATATCTGTCATTATTGATCATCAATATCATCAATAAGAAATATTTCATCTGTGTACCCGCATTCAAACAACTCATAAAAAACAAATATGTACCAAACAAAGTTTTTTACTCGAAACGCCCATAATCGTTAATTTTGAGGCTCGAAATTAACGTTTTTGGGCGTGGCACCCAAAAAAAATGTCTGCCTCCGGCTGCGGGCTGCAACTCTTAGCACCTGCGTACGGAGGGCTATTTCTATGGGGCAGCACAATTGCTCTTTGCACGCGGGCGGCCGAAACCCTAGAATCAGCCCTGGACAATATAATTATACATTAAAATTTGTGCAATTCTTCTTCTTCGTTACATGGCAGTTACAACCGAGTCCTTATAAACTCTGGACTCTGGATAACCGAAATCAACTTCAAAATTGCTGAATTCATTCAGTAAATCAAAATGTGTTTTTTCTACTGACATTTCATAATACGCTATTAACTGTGCTATTAAACGATTAAAATCTGTATCATAATGAACTTCATTACGATACAGATTTTCATTATAACACTCATTTTTAATATTATACAATGTCGATAGATGGCAGCACCAGTTAAGATATTAAACATCTTAAACGGTAATTTTGCGTGAAACAATTATTTTGATAACTATAAAAAAGACTCCGAATTGTTTAAAAGTTACCTAAAGTTTGGGACAAAGAATAATTATTATGGAAATAATAAATAATTAATGATAAGGAAGAATTTTTACTTTTTTCATTATTATACATTGTCAATAGATGGCGCTACCAGTTGAAAAAAATTGTTTTTTTTTTTTTTGAATGTTGGCAGCACTCCGTTTATAGCTTTTCCATGGTAATTTACCGAAAAACAATAATTTTATAAAAAAAATACTTCAACTTGTTATTGAAAGTTAATACCTAACGGGAGAAGGCATTATTATGGAAATATTGAGCGATAACGAACCAGAAATTACAGAAAGGGCGACAAATACAATTAATAATATACTACCAGACAAGTCCAAAAAAAATTTACGAAAAATTATATGAACAATTTATGGATTGGAGAAACACCAAAAATACATCATCCTTCTTAGAAAATGTTTTGATAGTATATTTTGAAGAATTACAACAAAAAATTAAACCTTCAACTGTATGGATTACTCAATAATTATAGAATCTCTATTCAAAGTTAAGCATAATGTTGACATACCTAAATATCATAAGTTTTATCAATGGCAGTAGAAAAAATAGTGTATGCAACTCTCATGTAATGGCCATTAATACATGATCATTGCATAATATACTAATTTCAATTTTTGATGAACATCTATACCGGCGGTTTGATGGTAAATTTCGGGAAATGTGACGGAAGTGTGAAAGGGGAGGTGATGTCATAACCCATGTGCAATGCTAAGTTCACAGCTACCTCAGCGCTTGCAGCCTATGAGGATGCGTTAGATTTCCATGATAGATCAAGGCTGTTTAAAAGAGGATGTTGCGTAATAACTTGTACCTATGACATCATTGGGTAGGAATGCAAGGTGGTATTAGATATTAGAATGTATTCATAAATGTACACGGTACTTGGAATACTAATTACTTGTACCCGGTTTGCCTGTACTCGAAACAGCTCTGACTATGCTACGCCCGGTCGCCTATACCTATACATCATCTGGTCTAAAATTGAAACCCTTTCCAGCATAGACCATGAGCGGCCATTACTGCTCTAAACCCACCCCCCATATAAAAGCTATAGCTACGTCGTTGAAAATGAGCTTCTCAATCCAATTCTTTACTTGAAATTCAACTTCACAAGGGTCAGAAATGAGCCTTTTATACCTCAATTTTCACTCTAGAATGGTCAAAAATTAAACGTTACTTCTCTAGCAGAACCCGGAATGAGATTTTTATTTTTTTTCAGTTGAATTTCAGCTTAATGATGGGGCAAAATGAGCTTCCGAAGCCGCTCTAGCTCAACTGTTTGTCTTAAAGCCTCTGTACTAGAATTAGGAGGGTGAAAAATGATGTTTTATTTTTTTTGCAGGAAATTACACCTCTGACCCAAGCTCAACTGAAAAACACCAATTCTCTAAAAAAAGGTTCAACAGTGTCGTTTGCTGACGATGATCAGGAAGTTTTGGAACCTGCTCAAGGTAATAATGCACAATAGGCGAATAAATTTTTCTCAAATTATTTGAACAATTTGAAAGAAAAAGAACCAACAAAACCACTGAAAACAACCGAAAAAACCGAAACGCTGACTTTCCTTGACGATAAAAGTCGTAAGAAAATGGTCAAATCTGCCAGCGTCTCTATACAAGATACTTGTCCATTTGTGATATCTCCCAAGCATTTTTCCGAACAAGAAGGCTATGCTGATATGTGTATACCTAAGTATTTTATTTTACATTCACATGTATCGATAAACTTTACAATTTCAGTATCCAAAGATCATAGAATGAAGACATTTTTCGATTTAGAATTACGCAAACGTGATGAATTATTGGAACTCCATTTGCAAATGCCTGGAATGTTTAGAGAGCTGTTATTCACCGACGAAGAAGATGAAACAATGTTGAAACTACAAAATTTAGTACAAACTGTGCATCGTTACAATGAAACAACCCAAGAGGCAATGATGGACTTCAAATTCATTGGAGATTATTCCAGGATTGTTAAAACACGAATCGACGATTGTTTTGGCGAATTGAGGAAGTTAGTATTTTGTTTATTGAATATTTTTTTTTTTTTTTTGATATTTTTATAGGGAAGTTTCCATAACCGAAAAACAAGAAGCCGAATATAAGCCGAGGGCTAGCGAAATTCGTAACTGTAACGCCTTTTGTGCGACAACAAATTGTCCAACGGAGCGTTGGTAATAATTAATTATTATACAATATATATTTAGTTTGGTATTGAAGTTTGGATATTTTCTTGAATGTTTGGGGAAAGCTGGAACTAAAAGATGGTGTTTAAATGGAAACTTGTATAGTCTTTGTAAAGTCAATTGGAACAAGGTAAAAATAAATTGCAACTGGTGGCTGACTAGTGGCAGTGCATTTCTTGATGAAAGTATTCAATCTCCAGTTGTGATTTACCTTTACCTTGTTTCAACTTTAAAAAGACAATATCATTTTTTTTTTCAAATATTACATACAAAATACTGTATGATTAATCAAAAACTGTACATAAAATCTGTTTTTTTTTTAAAGATAAAAGTCAAAATGACATTATGTTGGCAATATAATGTAAAAGTGTCAATGCTTTCAAATTTTTTATGTAGAAAAGGCTTGTGTTGCCAACAAAGTTACTAAATTTTTGACTTGGGGAATTATCTTTAAAAAAAAAAACGAACTTTAGGATTGAATTCACACTAGCATGGAAAGATTGAGGGGGTAGTCAGAAACAGGAAATACCAGTGGCGTACATTCGATCGACCTACGAATGGAAAATCATACGAAAATATACAAAACTGTATGATTATTCAAAAACTGTACAGGATGTTTCCTTATATTTTGACCCCTATCTACAGCTCTAGCTATAAGAGATAGAAAAAAACTTTAGATATGAAAGATGTAGGGTTTTATGTCTTTTATTTTTTGCGAATGTCAAAACGGACAAATGACAGGTGCCAAGTGTCACAATGACAAACACTTGCCTTTTTCAAATGGAACACCCTGTATATTTTTGGCTAGAATGATAGCTTTTTGTCTTCTGATTCCAAATATACCATATATGTTGATATTTGGTTCAGTTGCTTTTGCGCTATTTAATTTTAAAATTGCATTGAGCAAGCCTCATCATTGATATAAGAAACCAGGACAAATTAAATTAGGGGTAATGTAAATGCATATTTAAACTTGAATAGCGTAAAACAGCTGAACCAAAAATCAACATATTATGGTATATTTGGAATCAGAAGAAAAAAAACTATCCTTCTAGCCAAAAATATACAGGGTGTTCCAATTGAAAAATACATGTGTTTGTCATTAGTTGAATTCCTTTCACACCTAGGAGGAGCTCCGGAACAGCTCCGGGGCTTCACGCGCTTATTCCTTTCGAAAAGTGTTTATTGCACCACGCATTTGTTCCCTGTAAATCGGGGGCTACTAAACACCGGAACGAGTAGCTCGAGTGTTTCAAACCCTTGCAAGGAATACAACTATTGTAACAGTTGGCACCTGTCATTTGCCCATTTTGACATTCGCTAAAGATAATAAACATAAAACCCTACAACTTTCATATTTAAATTTTTTTTCCACCACGTATAGCTAAAGCTGTAGGTAGGGGTTAAAATATAAGGAAACACCCTGTACATGGGATTGAATTCATACTAAGCGAAGTCGTTGGACAGCACCGCCATGACGCCATGAAGAGTGAGGGCGAATTCTCATGATTATTAGTTTTAAATTAAAAAGTTTCGCGCGGAAAAGTTACGTTTAACATGGCCACTTCCAGTGACGTCAACTGTTCGTAAATTAAGGTTAAGGGTAGTTTACACTGATCGTGAATCCACGGTCCACGCTTTCGTGGATCACTCTTGAGTCGTGGAACGATTAATCCACGATCAGCTCACGTCACGCCACGACTGATAATGAACCACCATAAATGGGTCTAGTATAGAGGGAAGATTGTAAGGCATTAGCTCTTTTCACGTGGCTCCGGTGTAACTAACCGGGTTACAAAACGGTTAGAGAAATGACTTACCGTTTTCTAACCCGGTTACAAAGTGACGTGATGGATACCTACCACTCGAATTTGAGCGGTATGTTGCGGTTTGTTAAACCGGAGCCACGTGAAAAGGGGTTATGCATTTGTAAATCCAACCATGATGAACGATTTAACCATCACACAAAATAGAGAGTTATTGGATGTCCAATAAGGACAAGCAGTATTTAAATTAGCCTTATTTTGACATCTACGCATGCGCATTTGGGTCCGAAAATAAGGATTCCCTTAATAAGGTTACTGCTTGTCTTTATTTGTGTATGGTTAGTGCGAGGCAGTAAACTTCCCTTATTTCAAATTTCTGACATTTTGGACGACTTTGACGTTCTACTTTTCGACGATGACGTAATTTTACTTAGAAAATTTATTTTTTACCATAGTTTTTTATTTTACTGTGGGTAACATCAAAAAATGAGTATCAGCAGAAAATCATAAACAAAAATAAACACTTTTTGAGGCTGAAATTTATAAACATAGCTATCATCTGTCAAAATTATGAATACAAAATAAGATAATACTCTAGCACCTACTACAGTCTTCCAATAACTGTTTTTTTCTTGGAAAAATAGTGCTGATGCACTAATAAAATAAGGTAAATCCCTAATACTGCGAGGCAGTATTTAATAGTTCCAATAACTCTCTATTATGTCACAATATGGCACTATAAATACGGAAACACCACGTAATAACTGCTTTCAATGCAGTCGAAGGTTCAAGTTGAGCGATTCTTTCTGACAGTTTGCAAAGCGTCAGAGGCTCTTGTGAGAACAGACCTTAACGTCCTAACGTTGTGTTTACAGACAGTTGACGTCACAAGTACCGCAATTTTGAAGGTAATCGTTTTCGCGCCAACGAAAATAATTTGAAATTTAAAATATTTTTTAAATTTTAATGAGGACCTAATACAAAAAAAAACCTATATATTTTATATTCGAAAACATAAGCAATAGGAAAAAAAAATTATTTGAAAAATATGATTGTTCCCTATTCGCCCTCAGTCGCAGCGTTGCCAGACGTACGACAGGTGTGGTATTTGTACGACAATTAATCAAATCAAATCAAATCAAAATATACTTTATTGTCATAAAAACAATTGTTTTAGACAAAGCCATTCTTAATACTAAAAAATAAAAAATAGAGAACAAAAAATATGTAGGTATAAAAAAAGCACTTACAACAAATAAATCGAAACTTATAACTTAAATACAAAAATATCTTAAAATCAAGAACAAAATTTACATTATTATCTGAAAAAACAAAAGTCAAGCCATAAAACCTAATCTAAAAATCCCATCAATATTCACTGGGGCATTAGGAAAAACTAGTCAAACCTGTCAGCATAAAATTCGCCTAGGCTGTAGTAGGCTTTGGTCATTAAAGTCCTCCTTAAATTATTCCTAAAAATCCTAAGAGTGGGAGATCTCCTTACAGTCTGCGGTAAATGGTTGAACATTTTGACCCCCTAATAAATTATAGCCTTCCTAATAAGAGCGGATGAGGGTATAAGAAGTCGCAAGTGCATATGCTGACGGGTCACACATCCCGAACATTGATTGGCAAATTTTTCCCTATTCGCAAAAATCAGACAGGCAGTCTCCAAGACATACAAAGAAGTGAGCGTCAGAATTCCATTTTTAACAAAAAGGGGTCTGCAAGATGTTCTTGGTGATACCCTGTAAATATATCTCACGGCACGCTTCTGAATCACAAACAAAGAGTTACACAGTTGTTTACTAGCGGCACCCCAGAAAGCTATACCGTAGCGAAGTCAAGATTCAATAAGTGCAAAATAAACTGATCTCCCAACCTCGGCACCCAATTCCCGAGTAGACAGCTACACAGCAAAGCAGCCTGAAGATATTTTCTTTGCCAAAGAAAGAATATGAGGCTCAAATCTCAGTTCACGATCAATTGTAAGCCCAAGAAACGTAGACTCCGACACACTTGGAACAGGAACACTCCCAACAACCAAGCCATCCAAAGCACATCCGAAAGCAACCACCTTAGTCTTGTCAAGGCTGAAAGACAATATATTGGCATCACACCAAATCCTAACTTGTTTCAAATCTGACACAACACTGGCACTCAATGAAACAACATCTGGGCAGTGCCACAGAATGGTCGTGTCGTCCGCGAAAATAGTAAATTTTCCTATAATTTTCAGACTAGCCAAGTCATTAATATACAAAAGAAAGAGGAGGGGTCCAAGCACCGAACCCTGAGGTACCCCCAGTGACCCCAGTTAATGGCATGGGATGATGAACAAGAAGTTCCCACATATACATGTTGCGTTCGTCCACTCAAGTAAGACAGAAACCAAAAAAGAGCCACCCCTCTGATGCCATACTGGCTGACTTTACGCAGCAGAATATCATGGCTAACACAGTCAAATGCTTTCGACAGATCGCAGAAAACTGCCGCGGTCACTCCACCATCATTAATGTGACTGATAAGCATACTGAGCAAATGAAACATAGCGTCCGCCGTACTCCTGCCCTCTCGAAATCCAAACTGAACCACATTCAGAACAGTTCCTGCTTAAGAACGACGACAATCTTGACTTTACCATTTTTTCGATTATTCTAGATAACGTTGACAAAAGCGCAATAGGACGAAAGTTAGATGGGTTATCAAGATTTCCGCCTTTGTGCAGCGGAGTTACTTTAGCAGTTTTTAAGACTGCCGAAAAAACACCATTCAGCCAAGATGAGTTTATAGCTTCCACGAGCACTGACAAAACAGAATCAGGCATGTTTAAAAATACCTTAGCAGATAGACAATCAATTCCACATGAATCCTTATTCTTAATGGATAGAAGTGTCGTCTTAAGTTCCAACAAATCAACAGGTTAAGGGCATCTTCGTTACAAGAAAATCAATGCGTACGGTAGTACGGTAATGTACCACAGTTTTGAAATATTAAGTTGATTGGGTAATATTTTATGGTAATATGTACCACATTTCTAAATTCTCCTTTTTTTATCATATTATGTGTTGACCAAATTGGGTTTGGGTACCTTGCTTGGGTACCTTGCTTGACCACCTTGCACCTTGACAACCTTGCATTTGAATATACTGGGTTATGTGATGTGTCAATTGTGTCATACTCCCCTAACTACCTCGCCATCAAATTCTGGGCCTGCGAGTGACGT